TTGATGGTGGTAAAAATGTCCGATCAGAATTTAATAAAGTGTAACTTATAGCGCCTCGAAAGTCAATGAAGAAAAGTGACTTTTTTTGCCCCCCCCTGTATATTGCGCACGTTGAACGGAAACATTTACCATTCAAGCAAATTCCTCCTCAAGGCCAAACACGACTCTTTTCCCTGACCTCCCCCTCCCCCACGGCCATATACAACTTCCCTGATGTGTTCCCCAGACGAAGCTAAACGCAGGCAACACTCATGATCTCCTCTGTGTGGCACGGTGAAGCTCAAGTGTCAGTCATTGCGTTACCTCTATCTTCTGTTGATTAAACTATCCTCAGGTTATACAAGGCTATTGCCCGAATAGCGGAGGAAGACTATCTGGAGGTGGAAGTTGCTCAGAAGCTTCGAGAGTATTGCGAGTAAGATTTCCTGCTTTCTATTCAAAATTTATCATCTCATTTGAATGTAAAATAAAGGTCATCCTGCTCGGAATCGTTGGAGCTGTTGGACTTCTGCTATCGCGAGGACAACAGTCAGACACTGAAACTGCTCACCGCTCAGCTTCCTCATTGGGGCTACCAAAACTGCCTTTCTTTGGCGGTCATGGCTAATCATAAACCATTTCTTGCTCATCCTTGGTAAGAGTCACAGTTTTGGAAATTACCGAAGCGGATTACCGAAGCGTTCATTGGCCACTCAAACGGTGCATTTTGCAGTTGCCACGGCTTGCTGGCTCTGAACTTTGGGCATGGATCCCTTCGTGCTGGCGCAGGTAAGCTTCACCCAAGGGCCGTTTGCTCACGCACTTTTTTCTTAGTTCTCGTTTCTGTATATCTATGAAATTGTACTGTTGTTTCTGCAGTACTGTACTGCAACCTTTGAAAGTCTCGACTAAAATCAAATAGGTCGACCAACTGTTCATCCCTTGGCTTATCTCTCATTCCTCAAGGCACATAGGGTATTTAATGAATGCAGCCTCCATAACCGCAGTGAGCAAAGTTCTTCTTACACGCGACCCCCTCTCGTACACTGGAGACTGACGATGCCCCTTACCTCATGGAAATTTCGCTCCGATGATGTGCCCTGAACGCATGTCTTCATACCAATGCCTTTGCAACTTCGGTTGTTAGTGTGCGTGCACATCTTTCGTTGCACCACTGCTTTCTTCGTGCAGGTATACCATGGAAGGAAACAGGGAGGGGCAAGGTTCAGACCCGGAAGAAGCACAGCACACATTTAAGATAGCAGCCCTTCAGGAACAGAGTTGGTTTATCACTTCACACTCCTTCGGATACGATCACTCCATCAATTCACTTTCCTTCGGATGTGATCGCGCCCCTCCCTACCCCGCCGTCCCCCCTAAAATGACGACATGAGTACAAGCCCGTTGAAATATCGTTTCCGCTACTTTCCCCTCACGACCTACTTACGCTCTTACCAAACCTTCGTGAAATTTCGCAGCCACAAAGGGGGGGGGTTACCCATCAGGCTCGCATGTTTCCTGGATTATTTCAGGTGCGCACGGATCGGGAAACATGGGAAGTGGGAGAATTCTCTCCAGACAAAATGGCCTTTTCCCCAGCGACCTCCTGATGGGATTCTCCCTAAGCTGCTGCACCCTGCTCTAAAAGCGTCAATGTTCTGCTCATCCATTTGTTCTCTCTGCGTGACGTTCCATGACCACTGTGACCCCATATGGTCCCATTTTTCATGTGATGCATAGCTCGCTCACCGCGGAGTTTCACTCTTCGAAAAGACCCATCCACCTGTTCGCTCTTCAGCTCTCTATTAGGTTGTCCGGAAAGTTCTCAGCGTTTTGTGTTACTATTTTTTGTACATTCATTGCTGATTAAAAACTCATTCTCCCTTGCGTCTCAGTAGTACATCCTGAAGAGAATTCTTTGCGCTATCTGATGGTATAATTGCCGTTTCACCATTGCTTGATAAACCCCCTTTTCCCAAGACTTTTTGAAGCATGTCAAAAGAGCAACTTCGGACGATATTTTTCTTCAACTCAAATTGGGTCAATCCGCAGTCGAGACAGCTCGACAAATTAATGTGGGGGCCCAATAGTGTTGGAGAAAGCACCGTGCGACAATGGTTCGACAAATTTCGTTCTGGAGATTTCAGCCTTGAACCTCGTAGCGGTCGACCTAAAGCAATACCTGACGAGGATTTGAAGGCGTTTGTGGAGGCTGACCCATCGAGAGATTGCAGAAAAGCTAGGCGTTGGCAAATCCACTGTTGCAGATGGTCTGAAACGCATTGGGAAGGTGAAAAAACTCGACAAGTGGGTGCCCCACAATTTGAGTGACCGGCAGAAATTGGCACGTCTCGAGGTTTCTTCTTCACTGCTTTTGCGCAACAGAAACGACCCGTT